TGATATATAATTTCTTATTCAGTTGAATTAATAATTAGAATAAAAAATATCTAAGGTTCACGTATTGTCTTTTTTTTTTTTTTTAAAGTAACTTGTTTCTACCGTTATTGACAAAGTGGCATGCACATGCTAGAAGATTAAAACTGTGAATTAAGAAATTGTTGCGTGCATTTATCATCGCGATTGTTGGACATTCTACACAAAAGCGATTTTTGTTATTCAGGAAATGCTACATACAAATTATGATATCATAAATTAAATGCGATTTTTTATTATTGCGACACCTACAACGGAGTAACATTAAACATCAAATCAAATTTTATAAGCACCACCTTAAACACGGCTAAATTATATATCATTCAAAAGGTCATCATCTGTACCTTCATTTTTTTCCAGTTGTAAAAATTTGTACGGTGCAATTACGGTCGAATCAAGATAAAAGGTCAAGGACGGACAAGTTCATTTTTTCATTTGCTGAAAGATATAAATATATTTGCACGACTACGAGCCGAAATTTACTTTCCTGTGGTTTTGCATTACATTTCTATGGTAGACCTGCTAAATTCTCATCAAATTCTTCAGAAAATATAGGTTGACTACCGGGATGTCATGTGTTCCTAATTGACTGTAAACTTGCATATTTTAAATGCATTTATTCTTCTTCAGTTTACTTTGCAGCGATTTTTTTGCGATTTTCTTACTTTATTATACCCCACGCAAGGAGGGTATAATGTTTTTGACCCGTCCGTCCGTCCGTCCGTCAGTCCTGTTTCTTGTCATCGCAACTCCTCTGAAACCACACAACAGAATTTCATGAAACCTTTTTAGATAATAAGGACATACTATGTATTTGTGCATATCGACAGGAAATTACGATTCAATTTTTTTTCTAGGAGTTACGCCCCTTTGAACTTATTTGCTTCAATGTACTACTGCAACAGTTTTTCATCGCAACTCCTCTGAAACCACACAACAGAATTTCATGAATCCTTTTTAGATAATAAGGACATACTATGTAGATGTGCATATCGACAGGAAATTACGATTCAATTTTTTTTCTAGGAGTTACACCCCTTTGAACTTATTTGCTTTAATGTACTACTGCAACAGTTTGTCATCACAACTCCTCTGAGACAACACAACAGAATTTCATGAAATCGTTTTAGATAATAAGGACATACTATTTAGATGTGCATATTGACAGGAAATAACGATTCAATTCTTTTTCTAGGAGTTACGCCCCTTAGAACTTATTTGCATCAATGTACTTCTGCAACAGTTTGTCATCGCAACTCCTCTGAAACCACACAACAGAATTTCATGAAACTTTGTAGATAATAAGGACATGAAGGACATACTATGTAGAAGTGCATATTGACAGGATATTATGATTCAATTTTTTTTTCTTATACAATTTTTTTTTTTTTACACTTATTTTATTTCTCCAATGACAATGTGGGGACATAGGGTATGTGAGCACGCTCACTAAGGTTCTTTAATTTTTATATTAACAAATATGCTTTTCTACTTATAAAAGTTGCGTACAAGAATCGTATGTCAAAATTGTTGATTTCAAGTATTATCTTTCAAAAAAATAAGACTTAAAAGAATTCCCCTAAAACTTTATCCAAAGAATGATTAAAGTCGCTCACTAGCATCTTTAACAATGGCCACTTTTTAGTAAAATTCATCATGAAAGGGGAATAACTCTATTAAGAGTTAATTGACAATTTTAGTCATGTTGACGTATTTAGATTTTATCCTGGTATTCTTATTTTCCTTTTTAAAGTTTCTACTTATCTATTATAGTTCTCAAGGCAAAGTACGCACAAAAATTGTAAAAAATTATCATTAAAGGGCAATAACTCCAATAACCAGTTAACTGAAGATTTATGCATTAGTGGCTTATTTGTAGATCTTGTCTATCTGATAACTTTGCCATTAAAAGTTTCTATATATCTATCATATTTTTCAAAATAATAGGCCTACCCCGGTAAATGTCTTTCTATTATAATTGTTGAGATAATGAGCCAAAAATTTTAAAATAAGTTGGTAAATTCCATGTTAAAGGGCAATAACTCCTATAAGAAGTTGTCTGACAGTTTTGATGTCAAAAGATCTGATCATTATGAACATGTTTGCCCCTTTTGGATTTTTCCTATAGCTGTTTTTATGATAATAAGCAAAAATTGCATTTTACCCCTATGTTATATTTACAGCCATGTTGGCCAATGTTAATTGGCAGGTGGGTGCATTGGACACATTTTAAACTAGATACCCCATTAATGATTGTGGCCAAGTTAACTTTTACCCAGCAGTTTCAGAGATGATCTTTGTAAAAGTTAACAGACGATGGATAAAGATGAAGGAAGACAGACAAAGGATGCCAAATGATGGCAAAACGTCACACTGGACCTTTGGGGCCAGGTCAGCTAAAAATTGAACCTGTCAAGCATCCACCTTTTCACAATATGTATTTGTTTGTATTATCTACTCAATCACTGTTAATATGAGAGTAAGTATTGATATTTGAGTGGTATTTTCTGGATTTGCTGACCAGTTACAATCATTTTTTGTTTTATTGAGTGGTGTTTGTGTTTCAATTTTAAACAGTGTGTGATAAAATAATAAAATAATAATTCTTGGGTAATAAAATTACTAGTTTGTTTCAGTCGGTAACCTTACCAATAAAAAAGTTTTTTTTAAATAACAACCATACGTTTTAAAAATATTTTCAGTTCAACTATGTAAATTGAGATATACATTGTAGCTTGTTGCCTTGTTTTCATTATTTATCAACAAAAATGCATCAGAAGTTTGTTACACAGATATTTAAAAAAAATATTAATAGAATTGAGAATGGAAACAGGGAATGTGTCAAAGAGACAACCACCTGACCAAAGAGCAGAAAACAGCCCAAGGCCACCAATGGGTCTTCAACACAGCGTGAAAAATCCTGCACACAAAAACCATAATGTATACAAGTTCAGGGAAAATGGACACAACACAAAACTCTGAAACATTTTAATGAACCAAAATTAAAAAAAACATACAAGACAAGCAAAGGCCAGAGGTTCCTAACTTGGGACAGGTGCAAAAATGTGGTGGGGTTAAACAGGTATTGTGAGATCTCAACGCTCCCCCTATACCTCTAGCCAATGTGGAATAAACAAACACAAATCACTATGCACATTTCAAAAGAAGTCTGAGTCCGATGTTAGAATAGGTAACAGAAGAAACCAAGCAAAATGACAAGGGTCATCATAAATTAACAAAGGACTACTAGCAGTATTTAACTGACATGCCAGCTCCAGACCTCAATTAAACTGATCGAAAGATATTGTCTTCATCATATGAAAATCAAGCACAATCCCTCCCGTAAGGGGATTAGTATCATACCTTCATAAAATATACCAGAAGAACATAACCCGTATCATGCCAACAACTGGTTTTAGAATAAATGTGTTTATTTCCGATGCCATCTTTAATGACCTGACAACAGTATCGTAACTATATTCCTTCTGACATCTAGGTCCTTTGGTCTCTGGTGGAGAGTTGTCTCATTGGCAATCACACCAGATCTTCTGACTTATTTTTATACTTCTAAGTTTCAGTTCACTTTATGTCTGATTTCACATTTGCTGTGATTTTATAACAAGAGTCTGTCAGAGCGACAGCAAACCGGATGTTTTAACATTTATTTGTGTCCTGGCATTTTTCAATATCACAAGGGCCATAACTCCTGAATGGTCAAAGTGACAATCATCAATATTGAACTTGACCTCCATTTTGTCATCAGTAACAGCATATTAAAATTTTAAAAGCTTTGGTTGAACGATTCATGAGTTAAAGCACGGACACTACTGGAAAGACCATTTTCAATATTTCAAGAACCATAACTCCTAAATGGTGAAAGTGAATATCATCAATATTTTAACTGATCTCCATTTTGTCCTCAGTAACAACATATTAAAATTTGAAAAACTTTGGTTGAATGGTTCATGAGTAAATGCACGGACACTGGTTGGCAGCCGCCTGCCCACCATACATCCCCAAATCCCCCTATACCTCTAGCCAATGTGGAATAAACAAACATAAATCACTATGCACAGTTCAAAAGAAGTCTGAGTCCGATGTTAGAATAGGTAACAGAAGAAACTAAGCAAAATGGCAATGGTCATCATAAATTAACAAAGGACTACTAGCAGTATTTAACTGACATGCCAGCTCCAGACCTCAATTAAACTGATCGAAAGATATTGTCTTCATCATATGAAAATCAAGCACAATCCCCTCCGTAAGGGGTTTAGTATCATACCATCATAAAATATACCAGAAGAACATAACCCATATCATGCCAACAACTGGTTTTAGAATAAATGTGTTTATTTCTGATGCCATCTTTAATGACCTGACAACAGTATCGTAACTATATTCCTTCTGACATCTAGGTCCTTTGGTCTCTGGTGGAGAGTTGTCTCATTGGCAATCACTTCACATCTTCTGACTTATTTTTATACCTTAGCTGCATATCATTTAAACAAAATATGTTCAGTAACTGTTGCCATGTTGTTGGAAAAAATATACAATATTAGTTCAATGTCAGAAAAATATCAATTTTTTTATATGAGGCTTAGAAAAAGGGGAAGGGAGAGGTTAACCTAGCCTTCAACATTTTCATGCCAAATACAAAGCATTTGATATGTATCTGACATTGACCTAATATTGTTTTTATACTGCAGCTAAAAAATGCTACAATAATGTGTAGTAGCTGGCAGTATAAAATAAATTAAAGGGTATCCAAAACTATTTCCCCAAAAATTGGTAAGAAGAAGATTTGTTCTATTTATAATTGGTTGATAGGCAGGTTCTGTGGATATAATTGTAAATAATTTGTTTAGGCCAGATTATCACAGCGATGGCAACATCTCTAATAGCCCTTTGTTTGGAGATTAAATTTCATATGGCCCTACTTGAAGTATACATACTGCTTTATCACATTTCAGTTTTAATAATTTTTATTAACAATACTATAAATAATTTATTTAATGATACATGTATAACTATATATTATGCTTTCATAAACGAAGCTGAAAATGAGGACCCTAATGATTTAAGGCTAACAATCCTCCTTCTGTGATGAAATCTATTTTTACCAGATAAACACACAAAAAATGTCAAACAGGCAGAAAGCATTACTAGAATGTAACCAAAATTCAGTGATGATTCTTCATTCTGAAAAAAATTAAGACTTTGTAGTTAAATAATTTATATTTATATTGGCTTCCAAATTCATAACTACTGATAAACCTGTATTGGTTTCCTGACTTCTAAGTTTCAGTTCACTTTATGTCTGATTTCACATTTGCTATGATTTTATAACAAGAGGCTGTCAGAGCGACAGCAAACCAGATGTTTTAACATTTATTTGTGTCCTGGCATTTTTCAATATCACAAGGACCATAACTCCTGAATGGTCAAAGTGACAATCATCAATATTGAACTTGACCTCCATTTTGTCATCAGTAATAACATATTAAAATTTTAAAAGCTTTAGTTGAACGGTTCATGAGTTAAAGCACGGATACGACTGGAAATACCATTTTTCAATATTTCAAGAACCATAACTCCTGAACAGTGAAAGTGAAAATCATCAATATTGAAATTGATCTCCATTTTGTCATCAGTAACAACAATTTGAAAAACTTTGGTTGAACGGTTCATGAGTAAATGCACGGACACTGGTTGGCAGCTGCTCGCCTGCTGTACATCCCCAAATCAATAACTGATTTTTCCTTCGGAATAGTTATCAAAGGTACCAGGATCATAATTTAATACGCCAGACGCGCGTTTCGTCTACATAAGACTCATCAGTGACGCTCAGATCAAAATAGTTATAAAGCCAAACAAGTACAAAGTTGAAGAGCATTGAGGACCCAAAATTCCAAAAAGTTGTGCCAAATACGGCTAAGGTAATCTATTCCTGGGATAAGAAAATCCTTAGTTTTCCAAAAAATTCAAAGTTTTGTAACAGGAAATTTATAAAAATGACCATATAATTGATATTCATGTCAAAACTGAAGTGCTGACTACTGAAATCATATTAAAAATGACTGATACCAATTTTAGTGTACATTACACCAATTTCAGTGTACATGACGCCAATTTCAGTGTACATGACACTTGTTTCTTGAATTATCTCCATCCAGTACAAACAAGACTACCGTTATAACTCTTTGAGACCAAATACATTATGTGAGCCTTAAAGTCAAATGGGCATAAATAGTACTCTTCTGCAGCACCTTACAAAGAATCTGTCAAGTATACTTGGTAAAGCAGGTTTAAAGTTCCAATGTATACATTTTCCAATGAAAAACTAAACATGACTGGTGGCCATATAAGTTGACTAATAACCACTGAAGCATTAATTTTCCAACAGTACCTTGAAGAACATTCATTTGGATTGCTGTCACATCACCTATACCCCATAAGGGCCCACATCACCTTTATTCAAACATATGTTGAATTTGGTTTCAGGTGGTTGATAGGTTCCCATAAAGAAGGTCTCTTGCAGATCAGCACCAAAGTATACATTCATGGTTAGAACCTTGTAAGGAGCTTGTCTTTCAAGTTTTATTTCAATTTGTTCAAAATTTTACATAAGAGAACTAAAACACTGTTATCTAAGCCAATAAATTCATATCTTCACTCCCTCCAGATGGAGAGATATGGTAGTTATTGTTTTGCTATGGAAAACACCAAAATTATTTTGATAAAATCTGAAAAGGAGGTGCACAAAGAAATCATGTAAAAATATATTTTGTAAGAGATTCATTAAAACCCTGTCAGTGGTTTAGGAAAAATTATGGATACAATATGCCCAATGGCTTTTAAAAAAAAGTCAAAAGTGCAACTCAATACAGAACACTTTCTGAAAGTTAAGTTGAAATTAAGACAGAATCACAACGATAACTTTTTACCTTGCAAAATAATCGGTGTAAAAAGTAAAATGTTTACAGTCAGAAGTGGTATTGATGAAGGATGCAAGTGATAGAAAAATCTTGCATTACCTTAAACCAAGAAACGAAGATCTTATATATCTTTTAGAAGTATTTGTTCACTAAACAATTGACTTTAGTGTGACACTCTATCAAAGAGTAAGACAGAAGGTGATTTATAGTCATGATGGTAGGAAAGCATACATTCTTATTTTAATATTTTTTTCAGAAATCAAAAGTAAATGATGTTGTGTATATCATCTGTGTTATATAGAATGAATTCTATAGAATGAACTAAATATGACAATAATAAACCCACCCCAACTGAAAAATGGTCATTTACAGTCTATTTTTTCTATTCTAATACATGAACCACTTTGATAGTTGAACATTGACAAAACTGTGTTTCTTTGTCTTTCAATTATTATCTTGAAGTTACAGCAACTCATCCATGCTGACTGGAAGTAAATTTGACTTCATTGTCTTGCTCTAAAAAAGTGTCAGTTTTTACAGACTGGCAAAACTGACCTAGTTTTTACAGACCATAATTTTTCTGGCCAATTAATACCTCCTTGTATTTCTGTACTTCCTATGAATGCATTTATGATAATACTAAATACCAATGGCCTATACCATTTACATAGTGACAACCAAATGACTCCCACCCCTAAATGATTTTGGCTACTTTTCACAGTTTCTAATTTTCATCTCCGAGAAGGGCATTAAGGTTGTCATTTTTTCATAACAAATCTGGACAGAGTATATGAACCATGAATTGCAAGACCGAACCCTAGCTGTCAACACAGTTCAGCTGGGGAAGTTTTAAAAAAGTATGGAGGGTCATATGAGCTATAAAAGAATGGCTGTTGCAATCATGAGTCTACACTGCAATGAGGGTGAATAGGTTAACTGTGTTATATCTTAAGAAGGGCTGTACTTACAAAATCTTCTGTTATATGTCTAACTTGACTTGATTTCCAATTTATCATGTATTTAAACAGTTGAACATATAATGGGTGAATAGTTTCTAAAACATCCTGCAAACAGAAATGAAAAAAATATAATAAAATTTATAGTTTTACATTTAAAATTTTTCTCAATTTCTTTAAAAAAATTTTCTTAAAAATCATCTTGCATGCCTATAAGAATTGGACTGACAATTTTGGTGTTGTTGACATATTTGTTGATTGTGTCTTAATGATCATTTTTAAAGTGTACAGTTTCTCTCTCTATATGAATAATATTTTGTAATACATTCAAAGCTTGATGCTGATATTAGACAAAATGATACTTTCTAGACTTTTTCTTTTGAAATAAATGTTCAACAGTTAAACTGTTATTGGTCTTTATTTTTTACAACAATTAAATTATTTATTTGTGTTATTTTGGTTGCTGTCTCATTGACATATACCCAACAACTACTCCTACAATTCATTTTATAACTATATATTAGATGAACATTGTAGTTACTTTTACAAGAGTGCCATATTCTTTTTTTTTATTTTCTTACAGTTTTTTTCTGGCTGATATTTCAGTTGAATTTGCAAAACAAACAGTAAAGATTCTGAGTAATGCATAGATAATATTACATAAACTGACACTTTTTAGCTCACCTGGCCCGAAGGGCCAAGTGAGCTTTTCTCATCACTTGGCGTCCGTCGTCCGTCGTCGTCCGGCGTCGTCGTCCGTCGTCGGCGTTAACTTTTTACATTTTGAACTTCTTCTAGAGAACCACTGAATGGAATGAAACCAAACATGGCATGAATGTTCCTTATGAGGTGCTGACCAAGTGTTGTTACTTTGTAGCCGATCCATCATCCAAGATGGCCGCCAGCGGGGGACTTAGTTTAACATAGGACCCTATGGGAAATGCATACAAATGACTTCTTTTAGAGAACCACTGAATGGAATGTAACAAAACATAGCATGAATGTTCCTTACAAGGTGCTGACCAAGTGTTGTTACTTTGTAGCTGTTCCATCATCCAAAATGGCCACCAGTGAGGGACTTAGTTTAACATAGGACCCTATGGGAAATGCATACAAATGACTTCTTTTAGAGAACCACTGAATGGAATGAAACAAAACATAGCATGAATGTTCATTAGGAGGTGCTGACCAAGTGTTGTTACTTTGTAGCTGATCCATCATCCAAGATGGCCGCCAGCGGAGGACTTAGTTTAACATAGGACCCTATGGGAAATGCATACAAATGACTTCTTTTAGAGAACCACTGAATAGAATGAAACAAAACATAGCATGAATGTTCCTTACAAGGTGCTGACCAAGTGTTGTTACTTTGTAGCTGTTCCATCATCCAAAATGACCGCCAGTGAGGGACTTAGTTTAACATAGGACCCTATGGGAAATGCATACAAATGACTTCTTTTAGAGAACCACTGAATGGAATGAAACAAAACATAGCATGAATGTTCATTAGGAGGTGCTGACCAAGTGTTGTTACTTTGTAGCCAATCCATCATCCAAGATGGCCACCAGCAGGGGACTTAGTTTAACATAGGACCCTATGGGAAATGCATACAAATGACTTCTTTTAGAGAACCACTGAATGGAATGTAACAAAACATAGCATGAATGTTCCTTACAAGGTGCTGACCAAGTGTTGTTACTTTGTAGCTGTTCCATCATCCAAAATGGCCACCAGTGAGGGACTTAGTTTAACATAGGACCCTATGGGAAATACATACAAATGTCTTCTTTTATAGAACCACTGAACGGAATGAAACCAAACATGGTATGAATGTTCCTTATGAGGTGCTGACTGAGTGTTGTTACTTTGAAGCCGATCCATAATCCAAGATGGCCGCCAGCGGGGGACTTAGTTTAACATAGGACCCTATGGGAAATACATACAAATGTCTTCTTTTAGAGAACCACTGAATGGAATAAAACCAAACATGGTATGAATGTTCCTTATGAGGTGCTGACTGAGTGTTGTTACTTTGAAGCCGATCCATAATCCAAGATGGCCGCCAGCGGGGGACTTAGTTTAACATAGGACCCTATGGGAAATACATACAAATGTCTTCTTTTAGAGAACCACTGAATGGAATGAAACCAAACATAGCATGAATGTTTCTTATGAGGTGCTGACCGAGTGTTGTTACTTTGAAGCCGATCCATAATCCAAGATGGCCGCCAGCGGGGAACTTAGTTTAACATACCACCCTATGGGAAATACATATAAATGTCTTCTTTTAGAGAACCACTGAATGGAATGAAACCAAACATGGTATGAATGTTCTTTATGAGGTGCTGACCGAGTGTTGTTACTTTGAAGCCAATCCATAATCCAAGATGGATGCCAGCGGGGGACTTAGTTTAACATGGGACCCTATGGGAAATACATACAAATGTCTTCTTTTAGAGAACCACTGAATGCAATGAAACCAAACATGGCATGAATGTTCCTTATGAGGTCTTGACTAAGTGTTGTTACTTTGAAGCCGATCTATCATCCAAGATGGCCGCCAGAGAGGGACTTAGTTTAACATAGGACCCTATGGGAAATACATACAAATGTCTTCTTTTAGAGAACCACTGAATGCAATGAAACCAAACATGGCATGAATGTTCCTTATGAGGTGCTGACCAAGTGTTGTTACTTTGAAGCTGATCCATCATCCAAGATGGCAGCCAGCGGGGGACTTAGTTTAACATAGGACCCTATAGGAAATACATACAAATGTCTTCTTTTAGAGAACCACTGAATGCAATGAAACCAAACATGGCATGAATGTTCCTTATGAGGTGCTGACCAAGTGTTGTTACTATGAAGCCGATCCATAATCTAAGATGGCCGCCTGCGGAGGACTTAGTTTAACATAGGACCCTATGAGAAATACGTACAAATGTTTTCTTTTAGAGAACCATTGAATGGAATGAAACCAAACATGGCATGCATGTTCCTTTTGAGGTGCTGACCAAGTGTTGTTACTTTGAAGCTGATCCTTCATCCATGATGGCTGCCAGATGGGGACAATGTTTAACAAAGGACCCTATGGATGATACATACAAATGTCTTCTTTTAGAGAACCACATACTGAATGGATTGAAACCAAACATGGCATGAATGTTCCTTATGAGGTGCTGACTAAGTTTTGTTACTTTGAAGCTGATCCTTCATCCATGATGGCCGCCAATAGGGGGACTTCCTTTAACATAAGACCCTATGGGAAATACATACAAATGCTTCTTCTAGAGGTGCACTGAATGGAATGAAACCAAAACATGGCATAAATGTTTCTTATGAGGTGCTGATTAAGTGTTGCTACTTTGTTGCTGATTTACTGTTCAAGATGGCCACCAGGATTTTTTATTAAATTACAGGACCAATATTAAACCAAATTTGGCCTCACTCATTATTAGGGTATCTGTTATGATTTTAATCTATTTTTACATGATTTCCAAAACCAAAGTAGAATCAGGTGAGCGACACAGGCTCTTGAGAGCCTCTAGTTTTATATTAAGAGCACTCAAATTGGGATACCGGTAATAGCAACAACAACAAAAACTGTACATTCAAAATCATATCCATCAATTTGTTGAATTTGGTGCTTGTTTCAAATTTTTGAGTTTCTGTTGAATTTAAGTGCCTTCTATTAAGACTAAGGACAACTTAGAACATTCTCTATATTGTCATGATTGTGGAAGTACAGTTTTCACAAGATCATGTACTGTCAAAGTTTGATGTATAGTATTTGACATTCTTGGTGCTTGTTTTGATTGCTTGTCTCACTGATATACTCTCAATTTTTCACATGTATCATATATAGCATATATTTTTGTTGAAATGATTTCCCCTAAAAAATATACAGGAATGTATTTGGACCTGAAATTAGTAATAAAGAGCTGCACCATGAGCGCATGATACATCCGTTGCTTTTTCAACCAATAAAGTTCCATAACTCCTCAATGTCATATCAGAAATTTATAAAAAAACTAAAGGGAGCTTATGACAATAAATATAAACAATTCATCAAAGTTTCGTGAAAATTGGTTTAAGTGTTTTTGAGTTATTGTATGACATGTTGACAACGGACAGACGGACGGACAGACTGACAGACGAACAACTGCATAACATAATACGTCCCGTAAAAGGGCATATAAAAATTAAAAATAGTATACAATTATATTTTGGAAACAAATTTAAGTGCTAAAAAAATTGTGCATGCCAATTGTTGATGATGACATTGCACTTTACTATGATTTTATTATTTGTAGCTAACCTTGTGAAGGCAATAGAATTTAAGAAATACTGCCACTTTCAATCTAGCTGCATTATCATAGCACACAGTCCTCACTAAATTCAAAGTTTTTGGACCAGCAATATAAGCTATAACTTAATATAGTGTCTGATTTATCAGACATGCATAAAAGAGCAATGAAACATATTTGGAGTTAATTTTAAACAGATTTTTTTTCTGGTTAAAGGGAAGTAATACAGTTTAAACCATGTTCCAAGGCTCAATACAAATGCACAAAATGCATGATACTTTATTGGTTTCAAAGCTAGTTAAAGTATTATTTCATATACCGGTAGTAATTATTAATATTTCGTTAAAGAGTTTTATTTCTCTCTTTTATAATCTCCTGGTAAAAATGTGACTGTATTTTGTATATGTTTACCTCTAATTTCACATATGTTGTATGTGACAGAGTGTTTTTGAATAATGCATTATTGTATTGTACTTACATTGAGAATAAATTAAAGCAATGCTATATGCCTTCCACATATATTTCAATTGGGAAAGACCCATTTTTCTGTGGATATATCTTTTTAGAGTAGCACATGTGCAATATCTTGTTTCTATTGAATTTCTTATTTAATAAGTACAATGTAGTTTCTTTTTAAATGTTACTATTTAATGATATTTCTCCTACTACAAAAAAGTTAGAATAAGATGTCATTAGGTGCCAACAATACTGAAATTGATAGTGCAGATTGGTTTTACAAGCAGTTTAATTATGACAAAATATGAAAAATTATTTCAAATTATTGCCATTTTGGTCACATAATGTAGTTTGGGCAATAAAGTTTATTTACAGGTTTAAGATATTCCTATGGTCACCAATTGCATCCTTTTAATAGCAGACATGTTCCTGTATATTTATTAATCACAGTTTATGGCCATATTTCACAACGTCTACCTTTATCTTGATGATATTTTTCGATAAATAATCAAGAATTCCCTAAATATACTGCCGAAATTTACCCAAAGAAACTTACTTTAAATAAATTAAATATAAAGAGCAATAACTTTCCTTTCCTAGATTTAGATATTTCAGTTTCACAAAATTTCACAAAAGTTCCTTATTATTAATTTTCCTTATTCAGATGGTAATGTCCTTTGATCTTACTACGTTTATATATACCCAACTCGTTTACTATGACTGTGTCTGTAGTGAAGTTGTAGATTTAAATGAACCTCATCTACTGTAAATTCAGAAATTATTGCGAGGTTTTTATTATTGGGGATAATGATACTGGGTGAATATCGCAATAAGAAAAACTTGTATTATGAAATGTGATGCATATATCTGTATGCAGATTTTCCTGAAATCGCAATTATTAATCTCACATTTTTGTCTATTCTACAATAATCGCAAAAATAAATGCACGCAATAATTTCTGAACTTACAGTATGTATCGCTGGTAAATAATTAAATCAGAGATTTCTTTACCATGAACTACTTAAAACCTTTACTATATTCATTCAAAGTTACAAAGATTTGGTTTTGTCGTTAAGCTCTATCTGTAGAAAACTTATTAAAAGCAGGATATCACATCCAACTTTTACAGCGATGTTGCTTACAAAGCTCGTAAATTAAGATTTGATCCATTTATCACTGGTTAACTTAACAATCTTTAAATAAACTTATTCTAAAAAGCTATCTATTTAACACTAAAATAAAATCTTTGAATATTGTTTTTATGGGTATAAACAATAATTTTGTAATCAATAAATCAAAACATAGGAACCTGTTATTCGGTTGTTGTTTGTTGACGTGGTTCATAAGTGTTTCTCATTTCTCGTTTTTTATATAGATTAGACCAATGGTTTTCCTGTTTGAATTGTTTAACACTAGTCTTTTTGGGGCCCTTTATAGCTTGCTGTTCAGTGTGAGCCAAGGCTGCATGAAGACCGTACTTTGACCTATAATTGTTTACTTTTTACACATTGTGACTTGGATGGAGAGTTGTCTCATTGGCACTCATAAAACATCTTCTTATTTCTATATAGCTAAATATTATTGCAATACAGCTATGAACATTTACAGTCCTACATTCTGTTGATACTGATATTTTGGGATGCACAAGGTCTGTTTATGGTGTCGTTGATCTAAATATCTAAATCCATTAGATGTTTACTGATTAATCTTTTAGTTTAGATAAATGATTTTAACAGATTGTTATTGGCTCTGAACCACCTTTCAGTAACTGTTAATACTTTTAGATCTGCACTTTGTGTTTTAAGTCCTTTTATTAGTTGTTTTATGTTTGTTTTGTGTTGACCTGATGAGTTGATCCATTATCAACAGATTTTTACAGTTTGTTCTTATGCTGTGCTGCTACACACACCACTGTCCCAGGTCAGGGGAGGGTTGGGCATCCTAAAATATGTTTCGCCAGCCACATTCTGTATGTGCCTGTCCCAATTCAGGAGACGGTAATTCAGTGATTGTTGTTCCTTGCTATATATCATACTTGTTTTTCATTTGTTGTTTTTCACATAAATCAGGCCATTGGTTTTCTTGTTTGAATTGTATTACATTTTGTCTGGTCTTCTATACTATATTCCCGCACTTATTTTTAACAGAACAAACCTTCAAATGTTCATTTGGTGGATTAAACAAATCAAAACAGCTGGATCCTTTGTGATTTTGCCCCCATAGTTCCACTGTATATGAGAAAGGAATCTGAAAACAAGAGAGACTAAATTGGGGAACTTTTTCATGTATGAAAATTGTAACCTTCACTATGTATAGTTCTTCATTTTTAACTAAATGTGGGCATCAAGATAAATGCAGCACATCTACCTCAACTGTATTATCAAAATCTTTAAAATATAGAAATTGTGATGTTACATCATGTAATTCTATTATCAATATTATAATACATTAAATATGCAAGTATTAGTCCTATGTGGGACAGAACTCAAGATGGAAAAATAAAATATAACATAAAGATTTGTTAAGAATATTCTTCCATGGCTTATATTGTTATATCTTCTATCGACTGTTTTTAGATATAACTTTTTAATACACTATAGAGCTATGTCTGACAATGGCATGATATATTAACACCCGGCACAAAACTAATATTAAACTTGCCAATCACATTGGCATAATTAGAATCAAACCATCATTTCTGGATACTTAAAAAAGATAGTCATCACAATAATCTTTGAAATTTCCATTTTTAAAAGTACTAAGCTAAATTTTCAATGTTAATATTACATTATTCTGAACAAGGCTCAGTAGTGTAATTTTATATTTTCAATACAGGAGAAAAGATCCTTTTGCATTCCTTTTGTACGTTTTTTTCACAAATAAAAATTTCAACAAGTACCTGCAACCAAAGATCAAAATGGTAAAACTTGTTCAATACTGTTACAGTCAATGCAGCATTAGCCAGCATCTCTGTGTATGTATCAAAAGCATAATCAAAATACTACTTTTGTTATAAAAATAAAGCTGATAAATCAACTTGTATTGTTTGGTTTCTGTTTAGCTAACTTTATCCAAAATCTCCCATTAATTAAACTTATAAAATGAATCTAATAAAGAGCATGCATGTTTCTCCTTTTGGCTATTGTCATAGACATGTTTCCTTTTGTCAAATAAACACTTAATCTAATTCTACAAAATTTCACAGTATTTAGCTCACATGACCTCAGTAAAAAAATTGGTTCTAGTACAATAATGAGGAACCATTTTAATTTAACTGCCATAACCAATGATTGGGTCATGTCTGGGAATTGTGTGTTCATTTTCATGTAATATCATAAATGATCATAAATTGTAGGTAGTACATGTGATATTATTAGAGTATAAACTTGCCTTTCTAACTCCAGCCATAAAATCAAATATAGTTCCATCAGCCGTATAATCATTTAACTTATATGCTTGACCATATTTATATGTATACTTTGTACAATGGGATAGCTCCATAGCTAAATCTAACATATCATCAAGGTTATCAACTTGTCTTCCGATCTTCTTTGACTTTGTATCTATGAACATGTAAACAGTATTAGACTAGTTACGAAAATATACTTTATATCTATACAACAATAATGAGATGTCGTATGATTGCCAATAAGACAACTATCCATCAGAATCCAAAATAAAGGTATGTTAACATACAGTTTAAATACAGGGACCATCCAGAAATACAAAAGTTATACATGTTTTTCTAATTGTTGAAACTTGCACACACACACACATGTGTACATGTATATACCCATTGTCATAAAGTTTTTCTCTTGACTTAATGAATACCTTAAGAAATATATACTGCTCTTGTGCTATTGTGGTAGGTATTCTGCTTGCCTTGAATACAGGACATGAAGAGGTCAAACAAAAACTGGATCAGAGATTTTTAAGTTGTTGTTTGCTGTTTCTTTATGGCGTACATAATGTTTAGGAGTATGTCAACATTGACTAGTAATCTCATCATCAGAAAAATGGTTATTTATATATAATTAAAATTTACCCTGATAGTCTATTTTGAGTCGTATTGGCCATGTTGGATGCAAGAATTAATTGTTTTTCAAGATTATTTTTTGCTATTTCTCTGTGTATCTACTATAGTTTTCAAAATATTATGAAAACACACTAAAAATTGGACAAAAATCATTAATTAAATGCAATCACTTCTGTTAGGAGTAATTCCATTGTTTCAGTCATATTGGTATTTTTGTAGCTGTTGTATATCTATATTAAGTAAAACACAAGAATACTTAGAAATTGAAGTGTTTAAACCATAGACGAATTTGATAGCTTTTACTACATGTATAAATCAAAATCTCCATGGACATGAGATATGCCAATGCTAATACAGCTGCATACCAAATATCATGACCTACCACCAGTGGTTCCTAATAAACTGACCTAATCACAAACTAATACATGTAAACTGAACAAAAGTTTCAGTCAAGAGATCATGATTGAGGGGGCAGGTCAAATAATCTCTATGGAAATGAGATGTTCCAATGATAATACAGCTGCATACCAAATATCATGACCTACCACCAGTGGTTCCTAATAAACTGACCTTATCACAAACTTATACATGTAAACTGAACAAAAGTTTCAAAGTCAATACATCATGATTGAGGGGGCAGGTCAAATAATCTCTATGGAAATGAGATGTTCCAATGATAATACAGCTGCATACCAAATATAATTGACCTACCACTATTTTTGTTCCCCATAAACTGACCTTATCACAAACTTATACATGTAAACTGAACAAAAGTTTCAAAGTCAATACATCATGATTGAGGGGGCAGGTCAAATAATCTCTATGGAAATGAGATGTTCCAATGATAATACAGCTACATACCAAATATCATTGACCTATCATTAGTGGTTCCCCAGAAACTAAACTAATCTCAAACTAATATATTGTTGATGATGTTGCCACCAACGCCGGAAACAGCATACCTATGACTCGTTTTTTGACTGTCAAGGCAAGACAAAAACTTGTATATGAATTGTATCTACTCATTTTACAATTATTCACCAAATATCAGTTCAAATCTGCATAAAAGGCTGATAACAGAAGAGATAAAATGCTCCGCTGGGCGAAGCTTGATACGACCGCAGAGGTCGAACCCTGAACTGTTGGGGCAAGTATGGACACAACATTCAAGCTTGATACAGCACTGAATTTGGATTGTGATTAAATATTTGACACAGCATAGGTTTCTGACACAGAATGAATGTGGTCTAAGAACTTAATTTTTTTTTAATTTACCTATTCAAACCATATCATTATTATTTTCTTTTATATATAAATCAGAAATAACCAATTTAAAATGGAAAATTTTAAAGAAAAAAAATGAAAAAAAAATCACCCCTCAAATTTTTTGAACCCCCAAACTCAATCCCAGCCTTCCCTTTGTGTTACAATGTATGGTACCTTGCAGTACAATTTCTGAGAGATCCATACACTTGAACACAAGTTATTGTCTGGAAACTAGAAAAATGCGTTTTTTTGCCCCTTTTTGGCCCCAAATTCCTAAACGTTTAGGGCAATTACCCCCAAACTCAAACCCAGCTTTCCCTTTGTGATATGGAACCTTGTTGTACAATTTCATAAAGATCCATACACTTACACACAAGTTATTGTCCTGAAACTAGGAAAATGCTTTTTTTTTTTCCCCTTTTTGTCCCCTTATACCTAAAATTTTGAGGCAATTACCCCCAAAATCAATCCCAGCCTTTCCTTTGTGGTATAGTACCTTGCAGTACAATTTCAGAGAGATCCATACACTTGAACACAAGTTATTGTCTGGAAACTAGAAAAATGCTTATTTTTGGCCCCCTTTTGGCCCCTTATTCCTAAACGTTTTGGACAATTACCCCCAAACTCAATTCCAGCTTTCCCTTTGTGATATGGAACCTTGTAGTACAATTTCAAAAAGATCCATACACTTACACACAAGTTATTGTCCTAAAACTTGAAAAAATGCTTGTTTTTTTACCCTTTTTTGGCCCCCAATTCCTAAAACTTGGAGGCAATTACCCCCAAAATCAATCCCAGCATTCCTTTTGTGATATGGAACCTTGTGGTACAATGTCAGAGAGATCCATACACTAACACACAAGTTATGTCTTGAAGTTAGAAAAATGCTTGTTTTAGACCCTTTTTGGCCCCTAATTCCTGAATGGTTTGGGCAATTACCCCCAAAATCAATCCCAACCTTCGACTTGTGGTTCAATTTCAGAGCAATCAAAATACTTATACACAAGTTATTGTCCTGAAACTTGAAAAATGCTTGTTTTGGCCCCTTTTTGGCTCCTATTATCTGTACGGTTGGGACCATCACCCCCAAAATCAATCCCAACCTTCCTTTTGTGGTATTGAACCTTGTGGTAAAATTTCATAGAGATCCATTCACTTAAACTAAAGTTAGAGTGCGAAAACCAATCTGTCTTCTGACGACGCCGACAACGCCGGACGACGACGACGACGCCAACGTCATACCAATATACGACCACAAAAATGTTTTTGCAGTCGTATAAAAACTATTATCTGAATAATATTTTTCTTTATTCAAAGGCTATAATATATGTAATACAGTCAAAAGTTAATCAATTACGATAAATTTATATTTAATTTGTACAAAATGTATGTATTTACAACTATAATAAAATGCTTCGCTGAGCGCAGCAGGATACGACCGCAGAGGTCCAACCCTGAACAGTTGGGGCAAAAATGGACACAATATTCGCACTTGATACAGGTCTGAATTTGGATTGTAATTAAATATTTGACACATAATAGGTTTCTGACACAGAATAACTGTAGTCAAAGAACTTAAAATTGGTTATTGCTTTTGTGCAATACACTATGCTGTTGAATATTAACCCCCCCCCCCAAAAAAAAATATTTGAAGAAATTTTCTTTTTAATTTCTGAAATCTGAAATCAGAAAAATTGTAGCCCCCCACAAATTCTTATTTACCCCCCCCCCCCCCCCCCCCACACACACAAAATTTTTCAAACCCCCCTTTCCCTTATTCAAAAAATAATCTCAATTCAAATTTCTAATAGAGTTTGCAACCATAACTACTCATTTAAATACATCATAAAATATTAAAATATAAAATGACATACAGTCATGGTTAAAATTAATATTAATTAATAGTAACTTCTAAAATAAATTTACAGCTAATCATCTCAAGACAATCATTATTTCTTAATACATAATTTACAAGCAGTGTAAGGGAGGTAATCAAACATATATACTACAGTATTCTTTAAATGGATTGGATTACCTCCCTTACACTGCTTTTAAATTGTCTAAATTGTCCTTTAACCATAAAAACCCTTGTTTTTCCCCCTTTTTTGCCCCTAATTGCTAAATGGTTTGAGCCATAACCCCCATAACCATCCCTTTGTTGTATTGAAACTTGTGGTATAATTTCAGAGAGATTCATACACTTAAACACAAGTTATTGTCTGGAAACTGCAAAAATGCTTATTTGGGCCCCTTTTTTGGCCCCTAATTCCTAAACCTTTGGGACCATAACCCCAAAAATCAATTCCAACCTTCCTTTTGTGGTTATAAACCTTGTGTTAAAATTTTATTGTTTTCTATTCATCTATACTAAAGTTATTATCCGGAAACCATCTGTCTTTGGACGACGCTGACGACGACGACAACGTGATACCAATATACGACCAAAAAATTTTTAATTTTTGCGGTCGTATAAAAATTAATCTAAGACACAAATGGCTGCAGCACTGTGTGGAAACGACATCTCAGGATACTGTGAGAAAAAACATTGTGTATTCACAAGGACTAGTAAAGACACATACAATGATATGGTATTGTACACATGTTTACAAAAAAGGGGAAAATTCAATGTAAAGTTTGCACTAATTATCACTCACCTGCAAATGGAATGTATATATGTTTAATACCAGAATGAAAAGAAACAAACAGATCAAATTTAATCTTTTCTGTCAAGTCTGTAAATGCTAAAGATTCAGGCTCTGAAATTAGAAAAAAATTAAGTCTTATCAGTGAAATCAAACTGAATTACACAAAAAAGAAATGATACAAAATAAATAATAATGATTAGTTCATTTAAGAGCCTGTCCATGAGAAATTAATCAAAGTGCATGAGCACTGACTCCACTAAAAAGATTGCTTTCATTTTAGATTGTTAGTTATTTTCCTTTTTCCATAATTGTAGGAAGAATGGCCAGATTCTTACACCATGCATTACTTTCTAAAACTTACATTGTATGTAATTTTTAATAAAAAACCATGTACATTTATTGACAATTATGGTTATACTCATACACATCATTTTGTAATTAGAGTAATTGAGTACACTTTTTAGTACATCATAAATAAATTGCTTGGATAGGATCTTAAAAAAACTATGTTAATGGAGATGAGGCTTGAAATATTGCTATTCATAGATAAATCAAGTCAGTTTGACCTACCTACCCCAAAAAAAGGTTAAAATTCTTTCCAGTAAATTCTTTAATCAGATAAATGTTTCCACAAACTGTCTCACCATTATTTTGACAGTATAATACAGTTAGTTGTTGACATTCAATTTGAACATATAAACTATATAATGTGAGGGTACCCAAATGGCACCTATTTTGACAGTTTTTTGTCCTACATTTATTTATGACCCTGACAAGAGTTTCCATTCTGTGTTTATTTTGTAGATGTATCCTTATTTACTATATAGTCCCACCAATTTAATTTTGAATTGATATTGAATCATACAAAAATGGGGTTGAACCAACCTCCAAACAATCCATGATTCTGTAAGAAGGAGTACCCAAATTGCATCCATGCTTAAATTCACATCTGTAAAAATCGAATAACTGATGTTTTGTTTTATTTCTCGAAATATTTAGAACATTTTGACAATAGTCCATGCTTACTATTCACTTTTTAAGAATTGGATGCCTGTAACATATTTTAATTATTCATATTTAAAAGTTGACTTTTTGTGAACGTCACCATGCAACATTTCCATAGATTTTACTTTTTCCTGTAAACATTTCACCTGTTGATACATACTGTGAACATTTTGTGTACATTTAAATATATTTAGCTATGTTAAAAGACGTGCATAATGTCAAATCATAAAAATACAAATTGTTTAGTCTTGAAGAAAACTTGTTAGATTTCCGCTGCTATTTTTACTAAATGGATGCAATTTGGGTACTGTGACGTTATGCCACAGATATACTCTAACACTATGCAAAACATTAAAAGTCAATGGACCCTTGACTAAAGGTGCAGGGCAAAACAATCTCTTACACAAATGCTAATGCTAATGCTAATGCATACCAAATACCACTGACTTATCATAAGCCCTTTAAACTGGCCTAAACACAAACTGTGTCAATAAATCATGATGAGGGGCAGGCTAAATAATCTCTATGGAAAAAGGATGTGCCAATGCTTATATAACTGCATACTAAATATCATTATCTACCACTAATGGTTCCTCTTAAACTGACCTAATCACAAACTGATTCATTGTTGCCCGCGCCGCATGAAACAGCACATCTAAATCTCATTTTTGTACTTCGTACAGGTAAGATAAAGATAATTGCCATATCATATATAATGATTTATCTATTGGAAAGTCATGAAACTAAATGTTATAACCAATGCTTCGTATACTGTCAACATAAAAAATAATATGACATGAGTTTAATACATATAAATTTTAATCTATCATTTTATAATATTAATATGATTTATTTTGAAAATTTAATAAATCATTAATTGTTCGTTCCCATTACCCACTTTTTTACCAACAACAAACTGATACAATATACATAACAAATGATAGGTTGCTCTTTTATGTGCTCTATTTATACAAGATTTATTCTGAATGCTTGCATCAATCTTTTGCTGGTTGATATAGAAATACAAAAAGAAAAGTTGATTGAGGGTGGTCAAGTTAAAGCTGTCCCTTCACATATTCATTCAATGGTGTCCTTGTATTTCTCCATCCAACCTTCAACACTTAAGAAATAATTCAAGCCTCCATGAACTATTTCTATTCTAATAGGACAAATATGGCAATTCTTTTGGATTAAAGCGCTCTAGGTAAATGCAATTAATGTGAGGGCCTCAAGGGAGAATAGTGTTTGTACTAATTGAGCATACCTTCTTGAAATAAAGATTATTATTATTATTATTATTATTAATTATTTGCTGTTCCCGTAAATAAACACACTATTATATTGAAGTATAAGAACTGAACTAGTGACATACTTAAACTATTTACAATAACATATTTAGATAGGTTTGGATGAATTTAAATGATAATTTCACTTATATGTAAAAAAAAAGGGCTTATAACACATTTTATCATCGATTGTTTATGTTTCCTTGTTTTGATGACTTTCGGTTTTACAATCGTGCATTTTCCCGTAAAATGCTTATATTCTTACGTCATTGTTCAATGACGTTGGGTAGCTCATTCATAAATTAAAGTGACGCCACCAAAATTCAAACTTGATCTGTGTTTTGTAGTAATAAGCATTGTGTATAAGTTTCATAACATTTGGTTGAGGCAAACTTAAGTTAGAGAACGGAAACTAAAAATTTTGCAATTTTTCCATTTATAAAGGGGCATTACTCTAGAACGGTTAAAGTGACACCACCAAAATTCAAACTTGATCTGTGTTTTGTGGTAATAAGCATTGTGTATAAGTGTCATAACATTTGGTTGAGGCAAACTTAAGTTAGAGAACGGAAACCAATTTTGGGACGTATGGACGTACGTACGTACAGACGAACAAGGGTAAAACTTAATGCCCCCACCTCTACGGCGGGGACATAAAAACATATGAGGTGAGAGTATGATCGGAACAGCCCAAACAATATATTCACATATTTTAGCATTGGTGTGTACTCAAGGCGTTTAAAGAACGTCATATTAGAATTGTATAATAATCATTGGAAGATAATTAAATTCTATCATGTGTCTTTTTCTTAAAATCAAAAGGCTTTGATTTTTTTTCAAGTGTCTATTTCTATTGATAGAATTTTAGTTTGATGGTAAGGGTCATTCAAGAAAATTTGAAAACGGACCACCAAAGAGCTAGCTGACCCCTCCAATTAAGTCTTGAAAATGAGTAAAATTGTGTTTTATTTGATGTTGTTTGCCATGATTACAATCATGTTGGTTGCTGTGATAAAAGTTTTGAAACTAGAATCCTAAGGAAGATTTAGACCAAGTTTAGTTCCAATATGTTAAGTGTTCTTAGTTGAAAAGGTTAATCTCTTCTTTTTTTTGTTTGTACAAAACTGACAATTACACACAAACATGACAAAGAAGAGATGAGAATGCTAAAATGGACATGGTCACCATAAAATTTATGAATTAAAGGAAAGATGTGGTCTAATACACTGTAGGTGCTGTTGTTAAAATAAGCCAGAGATCACAGATCATAACACATTCCCAAAAAGACAATGCTTTTATTGGTACATGTACATGTATCTACCCTTAAACAATCTCAACCCTTGATTTCGACTTGTACTGTACTGTAGATGCCATGTGAATATATATATCAATATAAATAAGAAGATGTGGTATGGGTGCCAATGAGACAACTCTCCATCCAAGTCACAATGTGTAAAAGGTAAACAATTATAGGTTAAAATATGGCCTTCAACAGGGAGCCTTGGCTCACATGTACACTGAACAGCAGGCTTTAAAGGGCCCCAAAATGACTACCGGTAGTGTAAAACAATTCAAACAGGAAAATCAACAGTCTAATCTATATAAAAAAACGAGAAACTAGAAACACTTATGAACCACATCAACAAACGACAACCACTGAACAACAGGATCCTGACTTAGGACAGGTACATACAAATGCAGCTGATTTAAATGTTTTAACAGGCGCCAACCTTCACCCTAACCTGAAACAGTAGTGTAACATTACAACATAAAAAGACATACTATAAAATATCAATTGAAATGGCTTAACTCGATCAAAAAGACATATACCGGTAAACAAAAACAAGTAAACATACACTGAACAAATAAATTTGATCTATGACAATCTATGACACAATATAAACACAATATTAATAAAAAAGATGAAAAACAATGTCAAAAAGACAACTCTAACCTAGGACAAAATGGCGTTAAATAAAATAACGTACACAGGTAAATTTAAATATAATAATTTTGTTGTTAGTACGGAAATATTTTTTACAAAAAAAATTAATTTGTTGTTCACAGTATGAGTACAGAAGTGAAAATTTATCATCATAATAAATACAATGTCTTGTTGAATGTTCTATGTAACCATATATACAGAAATTACCTGAAAATTTATGGAGACCTCTGTATTCTTCATCTTTAGGATCTGATGAACTTCCTTTTCTTCCGTACTCCCAGTCAAAATTTCTATCCAGATCTACGCCAGTCTCAGTTCCTCTCCAACAATAATTGTTTGTAGATTCAATATAAAGCCTTCCATCAGGATTAGCTACAGATATTATATAAATATCTATATGAGATAAAATGTACCGTGAAAACTGTTCCTCAAAACTTCCATATGGAAATGTAAGTCCTCTGGTTAAATTTTTCAATAGGTATAACAAGCTTTCAGTTGGTAAAAATTCCCTTGCATGAACACCAAATGAAAATAAAATTTTAAGTCTGGAATTCTCTGTATATTTTGAGATTTGGGTATTGAAACTTCCTGTGAAGTTTGTTATATGGAGAACTAGTTGTGAATTTTTTTTTCTTGATTCATATTCTTTCTCAATTCTCATAAAGTTTGGATTTCTTTTAACAATCTGAGTTATTTCCCTTTGAAACATAGAAAAATTATGATAAACACTATAATCTGGAATGTACTTTTCTCTTTGAGCTTTCACATCTATTGTAGAACAAAAGTCCAGGAAAAACAGTATCACAGACATAAAACAAAACAGTTCAGACTTAGTAATAAATGTGTACATGACAGCAGCTTTTGGTGGGCATATCTTCAGGAATAATGGAAATTTCATACTGTGATACTCTACAATATACAGGATTTAATGACTGAAAACAGAAACAGAAAACAATAATTAAATGTTCATTTTTTCACAATGACTTTGTATAGTTTTAAGCATTATAACATGTTACATCTACATTGTACTTGTCAGGAATTCAGCTTTTCATGATTAAAACACAGTGAACTTTTGTATACTATTGTCAGCTACATCATAATAAAACATACACAAAAATGAGAGAATACATTGTATTGTTAAGTTGTTGTTGTATCATTCTTGTTGATTTAAGGTTTTACTGAAAAATTCTCATGTAAAATGTCAATACTTTTTTATCTTTGAAAATTTTGTATTATAAAGGTTTTTACTATTGAAAACAAAAAAACACTGCCAGTTGCTAAGAAAACAAAATATTCTAAAAATTAAAAAACTTCAGAGATAAGACCAATATAAATATATAAATATCATTGTTACTCTAAATATCAGCACAACAATGTTAAAACCTCGCCGGGATTCGAACTCATGCTATTAGGATATCGAGACAACACCGCCTGCACTGTGTCCAGCGCTCTAGACCGCTTGGCCACCTAGACTGAACTAAAATTCAGTTTTCGGTGGCCTAGTGTTACCTTTCCTCGTCAGTAGAATCTAGAGTTGTAACACAGTATATGATATATTAGGCATGAAGATGGAATTGACTGCAGATTAGCTAAATTATCTGTCGTAAAAGATCATTGTATATACTCAGACTAAAAAATGTTTTATCTTTATATCACTAAGCCATTGAAGCAAGATACAAGTATTTAAAGCATGAGTTGTCAATTGTGTAGGGTTTGTCTCTTTTTTTGTATGCACATACTTGTTGTAATGATATGGTAATATTTAGTAACATTTCTTTTATCAAGTTTTTACCTATAATATTGAATATCATTTTCTCAATTATTTTTCATAAATTATTGATTGACTGATTGTTGCTTGTTTAATTAACTTCCAAATACTTCATGTATATTCAGGAAAAACAAGTCCAGTTAAAATATACTACATGTAGGTAGTTCTGTTTAGAAGTTGATGGGATGAAGGGAGGAGGGCATGTTGAATATGGGCAGAACTTTTGCCTTATAACATGCCACCTTCAGACACCTCAAAGAGTTGATGTAATGTTCAGTTCCTTCCGTCTTTATGGATATAGTTATCTCATTTTGATCATACCACATCTCCTTATTTTAACATATAATCTTAACTTACGGTACATGATTTATGTATGATATAGTGATTGTTATTGTTTGTTGGTATGAGGGTCTGGATGGGGGTCCTTCATTTCTTTATTTCTTAATTTTTTAGAATGTTTTTTGTCCATTATTCTCTATTCTGTATATTTCAACACTCCATTACTCTCTATTTTTTACTTTTTTTGCCAATTTTTCTCTACTTTATTATTTTTCCCCTCTTTATTCTGCACCTTTTGTCCATTATCCTCTATTCTGCAAACCCCATCCAGACCCACTTGTATAGTTCAATTTTATAGATTTTAAACTCTTTTTCAAACTGTGTTCAACAAATGTTCAAGGAAAAACTATATTATATAGTTCGTGGAATAAATCGGGTGATCTGCAGATATATACCTCTGTCTTACTCAATTGATTCGATGGGAAGACTAGCAGACCACCATTTTTTTTTCTCACTACAATTGACCTAACAAAACAATATGTGAAGTAATAAATCTTCAATATCTTGGAAAAATTACAAAAATTCCCATCTATATCATGAAAAGAAAATAAATTTCGATATATATGTGGGAAACCAGTGGAAAAGTAGTGCAAGTCCAGGAAAAAATAGGATTAAGGGAGCTACCATTTGATTTTATGGGGGGCTAGGATGAAAAATTTTGTCCTGCCTATTTATTTTTCCCTCTATTCGGTCCTGCCTTTTTATTTTTCACTCTACTCGGTCCTGCCTTTTTTTTTTTTACTTTATCCGGACTTTTTTTTTGCAAATAATCTCATCCTGTCTTTTTTTTTACTCAAAACTCCTGTCCTGCCTATTTTTTTCAAATTTCATCCTAGCCCCCCCCATAAAAATCAAATGGTAGCTCCCTTTAGGAGGTGCACTTCTTCAATCTGTCACAGTGTGCATAGTTTGAATTTTTTTTGGAGGAAAACCACATGCCAAAAACTAGGTACCATCTATCATGTCCATTCAATAACAAAAATGACAAAGTTGCATACATGGGAAATCTGAGAAAATATATTAAAAATTTGTCCAAAAAGGGGACACATCAAAAGTTTGATAATGTTTATTGATTGTTGTTTGCTAATTAATGTCCATGAAAATAAGTTGAAAGAAAACTGTTGGAACTACTAATAACACAACCTAGGTACCCTCCATCAGAGACATATACTCTGTGTATATATGTCTCTGCCTCCATGTACATGTAGTTGAGACAAATAATTGGAATGACAGACAAATGGACAGGTGGAGTGAGACATTTATTACACCTGTATTTTACATAATAATTTTTACTTATGGGATTGGAAAGTTTAAAATGAGTGAATAACTTTCGTTTTGGATAGAAATGTACGTGGTGGTGGTGTGATATGTATAAACAAAAAAGAAGATTTCGATTTTGACCATTCAAACATTCAGGATGCTTAACTAGTGACATATTGACTCAAAGGTTCATGAAGGTTAGGGTATCTTCACTTCAAGAAGTGGTTCATCTGACAAAGGCGAAATTTTCAGTATAGGTACATGTAACAGGTGATAGGTTTTAGTCCAAATAATATAACGTTTTGAAAAGAAAATTAAAAGCCTCTCAAGATGTCATGATTATTCTATTAAACTATAAGTCAGACCGGTAACAGTTCGAAGCTGAGATAATCTCAGATTTCTACAAGTAATAATAATAATAATATTTTATTCAATAAAATATCAAGCATACGAGTTAAGGGAGCTACCATTTGATTTTTATGGAGGGGCTAGGATGCAGACATGGGGTCAATTACTTTTGAAAGTAATTAATTACATTCAATTACAATTACAAAATCTTCAATTAAATTACCCATTACAATTGACTTTTTTTGACAATGTAATTAATTACTTTCCAATTACTTGGCAAATGTAATTAATTACTTCAATTACTTTTGAAAGGAAAATTTAGAACATGCATTTATTCTATCATTATGTACATAATTATCATACATTGCTTTATAGTAATAACAAATGAGATCTACAGTGACTATTTTCAAATTCAGCCAGTATCAAAGAAGAGTAAAAGTTAAATATCTGCTGTGTTACGGGAATAAAGAAAAAACAAACATAAATGTGAAGTGCACATAATACTTTGTCTATCAGGAATCGTTAGGACTAGATGTCTGGTTTAATTTAATGTGCAAAATGATAAAAAGCCTTATTCAATATTTGGAAAATATTAAATTTTGTTTAATTATCTATTGAAATTTTATGTTTTAATGTATTTCATTGAAAATGATACAAGAAGAGAGCCCTATAGATAAAATTTTATTTTTTTATTTTGATCACACAACTTAATAAAATTATTTTCCCTAAAGAAATGATTTAGAAAGTCTGACTTTTTTAAAAATATAATGTAGTTTTAATCACAATTAATTAATTTAAAAAGAATCACGTACCTAGGGGTATATTTATCTCTCTCTAATTGGCTTAACACCTGTTTAGCATGTTAACATAACTGTTGTAAAAACAGTCATTATATAGTTTATGATAAAACAAATAGCCAGAGGTTATATTTATTGATTGACTGATGACCTTTCAAATTGATTATGCTAAATCAATGTCTAACAATATCAATCTGAATGGTTTACTCCTAGTTTGCCCACTTTTAATTACACCAATTATCTATTAGTAAAGAAAACAAAAAAGACAAAAGGTTTAATGAGCATACAATCATATAGTCTATTCCAACTTAGGTATACAGTTTATCAGTGTTTTCTATATATATTCAGGTAATTTTTATTTTGTAATTCCATTTTCATAAATGTATAGATAAATTATAAACAAATCATATATTTTTTTCTCTCAATAATTTAACACACATGTAAAACAATGCCACTAGCCTGCTTTAAAAGTAATATAAAGTATATTAAAAAAAATAAACAAATTTCATGCGCAGGGTTTTGGGGCCGCTGAAGGCCCGAAGAAGCTATTTTGGTCTTAAGGCAAAATATATAGTTTCAGTGTAAGACTTTTAGTTTTTAGGGACATCAAAGGACCAATATGTAGGATAAATCAAAAACATGTAGTTCACATATGGTTTTATGGATGTGGCTGCTATTTTTTTTTTTTTAGATAAAAAATCCTTAAAAAAAATAAAAGTCAAGTTAAATTTTTTTTTTACTAAATTACAAATGGAAAGCAACACTATGAGAATAAAGTAAATGTTCCTGAATCAATTTCCTAAGTTAAATGAAACCCATTTTCAGACATTTAATTCAAGTAAATTAATATTTATACATTATATTATTTAAAGATTTTGGAAGTTTTTCCCTAAAAAAAATGAAAAAAGACGAATTTTGGAAGAATCTGATGCCATCTCATACTTTAGAATAGCATTTTCAAAAATGGCTTAAAAGACCTGCCGAGTTATTTATTTTCAATACATTTTAAGTCAGTTTATTTATTTTCAAACTACTACAGGACAAACCATTATTTTTTTCTTATTATCAAGGCTGAGTTATTTATTTTCAAAATCCCCCCTACTATATCCAATGGTCGTCACCTAGTATATGAATCAAGTTTATAAATGCATTGCATAAGGAAATAAATAGAGCACTATGGTAAAATAACAATCTGTTGAGTTTTTTTTAAAGAAGAAAATGCTAGCTTGGATACAGATTACTGTTCAAATTATTTCATTTGTAAAGCTTGGCTACTGAACAGTTGCATTTTTATTCTATTTGTTAGAATTTATTGTCAAATTCAATACATTTTCCTGATAAAAACTATATTAAAACTTTTGAACATTTTCATTGATTTGATAGCAGAATATTGATGTATATTCAGGTACTTAGAAAAATATACATGTAGGTAACAAGCTAATTAAGGTATAAGACAATGACTTACTAATGGTTTCTTTTAAACACAAATTATGGCATGTTTCTACAATATTTTTTTTTTATAATTTTTTGTTCATTCATTACAAAATAAAGAATCTTCCATGGTTGTGTAATTACAGAAGGTACATGTATACTGTGTAGGCTTTGATTTGTCAGCTTACTACATTTGCTAAGGTCATGGCTTTTCATAATTTTTGTGAGAAAACACAAGATTCAATCTTTCTGATCCCAAATTTCAAATGTAATTGAGTTGTAATTGAAAAGTAATTGTCAATTACAGACATTTTTGGCTTTGTGATTCATTACTTTCAATTACTTGTAATTGAAAAAATGCTCAATTACACATTACATTCAATTACTTGAGAAATTGTAATTAATTACAGCCAATTACAATTACATATTTCAATTACCCCATGTCTGCTAGGATGAAATTTGAAAAAAAAGGCAGGACAGGAGTTTTGAGTAAAAAAAAAAGGCAGGATGAACAACTTGGCATAAAAAACAGGCAGGATGACAATTTATGTATAAAAAGTCAGGATAAACTAATAAAAAAAAGGCAAGACCGAATAGAGTGAAAAATAAAAATGCAGGACAGAGATTACAACTAAAAAAAAATGCAGGACAAAATTTTTCATCCTTGCCCCCCATAAAAATCAAATGGTAGCTCCCTAATACAATACTCAATATATACAATACGTAAAGACAATATACTAACACATTCTTTGTAAAATATAATGACAAACAAGGATTTGTGTAGGTATATTTTATAGTGTGTCTTTCTATGTTGTGATGTTACACTATTGTTTCAGAAAAAAGGTGAAGGTTTGGTACCATTAAAACGTTTAAACCCGCTGCATTTGTTTGCACCTGTCCTAAGTCAGGAATCTGATGTTCAGTAGTTGTTTGTTGATGTGGTTCATAAGTGTTTCTCGTTTCTCGTTTTTTATATAGATTAGACTGTTGGTTTTCCCGTTTGAATGGTTTTACACTAGTAATTTTTGGGGCCCTTTATAGCTTACTGTTCGTTGTGAGCCAAGGCTCCGTGTTGAAGACTGTACTTTGACCTATAATGGTTTACTTTTTTAAATTTTGACTTGGATGGAGAGTTGTCTCATTGGCACTCATACCACATCTTCTTATATCTATATTCTGGGACTATTATACTACTATAAGTTATATGGTTCGCTCCTGACCCCCTATGGATCCATAGAGGGTAAGTAAAATCCATAGGGGGTGAGGCCGAAGGCCGAATCTCCTATGGATTTTATTCACCCTCTTTGGTCCGTAGGGGGTCAGTAGTTAACCCTATAACGAATTTATCGCCAGCGAGACTTTTTTCCGCTGTGTTTTGTAGAGAAATAAACAATTAAACACAACAACATTAATAGATGACGTCACTATTAACAGTAGACGTGACGTCATGAACCCCGTATGAAATTTACTAACCCCCTACGGATCCATAGTGAGGTCGTTAAACCAATCACAACGTGATAATTTACCGGCGGTGCGATAAAAATGTATATGTAACTAGTATAATAATTAAATTAAGGTTCATCATAACAAATGGACAAAAATGGCTGTGTTTAGACCTCAAAAACTACTCTGAGTACAGACTAACCTGTGCAGTTGGAAAAGTTTTAAGGACTGGTAGCCACTAGATATATAAAAGTTAAATGCATTTTGTGTTTTAGAAAGATAAAATATTTTTTGGATTTTGATGGGCATTTTTTTTTTCGTTCCTGCAGAAGGTGTAAAAATTTAGTTGGGATACAACTTTGAGATGCTCCCTCTCAGGTAACAACTGTATTGCTGCATTGATTGTCCTTGATTGGCATGGACAATAGATATCTACACAACTGTAGGTGAGTTAAAGGGTGTAACTGCGTGGACAGTATCAAATGCAGTTCAGGTGTTTGTTTATTTTTACACCTTCTGCAGGAACGAAAAAAAATGCCCATCAAAATCCAAAAAAGATTTTAACTTTCTGATTGCACAGGTTAGTCTGTACTCAAGAGTTGTTTTATGAGGTGTAAATACAGCGATTGTTTTTCCATTTGTTATGATGAACCTTAAATAACAGGTATATTATCGAAAAAATGTGAATTATAGGACAGTGTCAAGTGCTGTAATTGCCTGTACGTAAATGAATGGAGAAATTCTAACCCATGTTCAATATATTATAATTTCACATGATATATGTACCTGGACGTATAATTTGTTTCCACGCACGTGTAACTGTGGCAAATTTTGTTTGTGTTTGTTGACATTTTGTTTTCGTATGTTGGTGTGGTTCAATGAATACTTACATACTCATGTTTTTTAAAGTCATTTCAGTACTTTTTATCAATGTATGTGTCTCAATATTAAAGTTTACACAACGTGTATTCCTTACACTGTACACAGATACGAAATAAACATTTAGCATTTTCAGGGAAGGTAACTCCGAATTACTTTTTTTCTTTGAATAAAACATTTCTATTTAAAATTCCATCTGTACAACTAACGTGACGGTACCCAAATTGCACATATTTTGACAGTTTTTTCACCCACGTTTATTTATGATCCAGACAAAAGTTTCCATTCTGTGTTTATTTTGTAGATGTGTCATTCATTTATATGGTTCCACCAATTTATTTTTGAATCCATATTGGATCATAGAAAAATGGGTTTGAACCGACCTCCAAACGATCCATGATTCTGTAATCAGGAGTACCCAAATTGCATCCATGCTTAAATTCACATCCTTAAAAATCGAATAACAGATGTTTTGTTTTATTTCTTCAAATATTTAGAACAATTTGACGTTAGTACGGTCGTTAGTCTATGGCTGCAGCACTGAGTAATAGTATATGCTTAATAATTATTTTTTACGAAATGGATGCTTGTAACAAATTTAATTTGCTCATTTTTATACGACCCGAAAAAAAATTTGCGGTCGTATATTGGTATGACGTTGGCGTCGTCCTCGTCGACGTCCGAAAACACATTGGTTTTCGCACAATAACTTTACTGTCTTTAGGGAGCTACCATTTGATTTTTATGGGGGGGGGGGGGGCTAGGATGAAATTTAAAAAAAAAAGGCAGCGACTCTTTTCACAAAACCCCCCCCCCATAAAATCAAATTGTAGCTCCCTTAGTTTAAGTAAATGGATCTCTATGAAATTTTACCATAAGGTTCAATACCACAAAAGGAAGGTTGGGATTGATTTTGGGGGTTATGGTACCAACAGTTAAGGAATTAGGGGCCAAAAAGGGGCCAACAATAAGCATTTTTGTAACTTCCAGACATAACTTGTGTGTTAGTGTATGGATCTCTCTGACATTGTACCACAAGGTTCATGATGATAGCACAAAGGGAATGCTGGGATTGATTTTGGGGGTAATTGCCTCAAAATTTTAGGAATTAGGGGCCAAAAACAAGCATTTTTCTAGTTTCCAGACAATAACTTGTGTTCAAGTGTATGGATCTCTCTGAAATTGTACTGCAAGGTACCATACCACAAAGGGAAGGCTGGGATTGAGTTTGGGGGTGATGAATCATAAGGGTGTTCAAAAAATGGGGGGGGGGGGCTCCTTTTTTTCCTTTTTTTTTTCTTTAAAATTTTCCATTTTAAATTGGTTATTTCTGATCATATATAAAAGCAAATAATAATGATATGGTTTGAATAGGTAAATTAAAATATTTTAAGTTCTTAGACAACATTCATTCTGTGTCAGAAACCTATGCTGTGTCAAATATTTAATCACAATCCAAATTCAGAGCTGTATCAAGCTTGAATGTTGTGTCCATACTTGCCCCAACTGTTCAGGGTTTGACCTCTGCGGTCGTATCAAGCTGCGCCCAGCGGAGGATTTGATTAAAAGATTACTTTTTGTGAACGTCACATGGCGACGTTTTTCGTAGATTTACTTTTTCCAGTGAATGCTTCATCTGTTGTTATAAACTGTGAACGTTTTGTGTATATTTGAATATATTTACCTTTGTTGAAAGACGTGTATAATGTCAAATCACAAAAATACAAATTATTTAGTCTCAAAGAAAACTTGTAAGATTTCCGCAGCGATTTTTGTTGAATAGGTGCAATTTGGGTACTGTGACGTTTTAACAACAAACCCTTAAAATGTATTTTGATAACAACCATTCATCTTTTGTGGGAGGATTGGGAGTTTTTCATTCTAGAAAGAAATATTTTCTTATCTTTGTTGTATAATAACTGAAAATTGAAACATTTAGTGGAATTTCTGGAACTATTATAAAAAAAGTATAATATATTCCCAGGTCGATTATAGATGGGTTTTGAAGTGGTGGTAAGACACCTATATAACAAACTGAGACCAAAAGATAAAGAGACATGAAACTAAGAATAGTTTTCAATTTCATTTCATGCAAAATTTTCCTTTTCTTGGCAAATTACTCGAAAAACTTTAATTTTAAAAGGTGTATTTTTTATGTTATTGAAAAGAACACTCATTCCTTATTGAAAACATCCATTTTCTGTATTTAGATATACAAATACCATATATGTATATACTGTTAAAAAAGTAATAACCATTTATAAGTTTTAATACATTTTGCCATAGTGACTAGATCAATAGATTTTAGTGTGTTAGGAATTCAGGCCCTCGTAAGTAGGAGAGATCGATTTTGGGGAGGGACTGAATTATTCCGGTTATATCTTCTCATATTTTATCTACAAAATATATTTCAAAATTTTCTTTAAGGTATAACAATAAATCATATAAGTGATCTCCCCTTACAAAGCAAAACATTTGAATTTTGAATTTAAAAAAGGTTCTGTTTAAAATCCAATGATTTCCTCCACTTAAATGAATAGACCTAGACCTTCAAAATAAATTACATTTCTCAATCAACATTTGCTCATATCTGTAATAAATCACAATGTAGTAGTAAAAATTATAATCAAAAATATAGTAAAAACTATATGCATACGTTGCTAAGCTTGTAGGAGAACTGATCAATAGAATTTTAAATAGAATATATACAAGAAGATCGCTGTCAGAAAGCAAACAGAGAAATGCATTCACTGAAGTTGTTTCTACTTGCATGTAACAAAATAAAAAAAATTACTGTAGAAACTGTAAATTAATCTATAACATCCAAATTACTTTAGCTTCCACTTCGTTATACGTATTTAAATTTTGGAATTTTGAAAGATGTAAAAATTTTGAGTACCAGATCTGCAATGCAAACCTATTTAAGGACCTGGATTTTTCTAGTTACTGTAGGTTTACATATTTGCTTCTTTTGCAGATCTATTTAGGACATTTTTGTAGGAATGTATACACATACTTGCAGTAAAATGACTATGTTTGTGAGACAAGGATGGTTTAAGTTTAGGTCTTACCAAAGTCAAATTTTTCTGGACCTAAGATTTGCAAGTAATGGAAAACCAAACCATGAACTGGGGAAACCACAAATTAAAAATCAAAGACGCCTTCCATCAAGGTCATCTCTTTCACCACTACAGCGTCTGAATTCATTGTTGCCAGAACAGTTTCAAGTTGAAGAACTACAAAAGCCAACCAATAAGACTGACAATAAAAATAAAGTACATGTAGAATGCATAACAAAGAAAAGACCAGTGAAGAAGTTCTCAGTGTATGATAGAGTTAATGACCAGCTGTCAACATATACAAATGATGAAAAACCTGAATAAAGACAAATGATATTATAATAATTAAGGTATATATGCATGTACACATGTATTGTATAAAAATAAATTATTGCACTCCATTTTCAATATAGGGCTATTCCTGGAAAAAATGTATGGGAGGGTTGAACTCCACATGATATTTTTTCTGTGGAAAATAGGGGTGGAAGCAAATTCAATTTTGTTAACATTGAAAATAGAATTATGGGTGGTCTGCATAAAAAATGTGTTGTCCAACCAGCATACAATTTTCCCCTGGAATAGCACTAAATGGAAATAATGATGAACCAAATGAGATAAAGAGTACTTGATAATGAGACATTAAGAACACAACAAAAATAATCAAAAGACATTTAGAGTTTAACATGGTTTTGGGATGTCATTAGCAGGTCATTTTATTTATCTTAATCCTGATTTTGCACAAGCTAAAGTAAATAAAGCCTAAGGACATGGTATCTGGTATGACATATTTACTTCAACCCATCATGCTTAATGTACATGTATAACAAATTATCATAAGGATGAAGGAAAATTTATATAGGGATATGGGGTAAACAAACATAAGGCTATATATGTCATGGGGGCCTCGGTGGCAGAGTGGTCTTAGTAGTTACTACTGTAATCACTAGCCAGTCAACACTGAGGTTGTGAGTTCTAACCCCACTTGTGCGGGTGCTCTCGACTCCAATCTTAATTGACTAGGTTTGTCAGTTTTCCTATCGAAGGTCAGTGGTTTTCTCCGGGCACTCCGGCTTCCTCCACCAATAAAAACTGGCCGCCACGAAATAGCCCAAAAGCTGTGCTTAAAAGTGGCTTTGAAACACCAAAAATCAAATCAAATCTATATATTTCATAGTTTAATAACAATGATATAAATGGTTTAAACTTGGAAGCTGACATTAAAAGACAGTAGGGGAAACCTAACGGAACAATTTTTCCTTAAATAAAATGTGTTTTCCTGCTGATAATAAGGCTATCATTACCAATCCAATACCAACAATTACTCCACTCCATTTCATGATTATTTAGCATTTCTTGAATAAAACTGTAGAGCTGTAATAACAGGTCATTTTTCTCTCTATTTTTGGTGATTTTATGTACTGGCACATGTTTTGGGTTGTCATATTGTTCTGCAATTTAGACAATTTAAAGCTAAATCATAAACTGTTTCTTGAAATACAATCTTCAAGATTTTAGTTTGAAGTTAATTGATTAACATAGACATTGTCAGCAGGAGCTGTCAAAATTTTGCTGTTATTGATAAAAAATCATGTATAAAGTAAAAGGAATGGTTTCTAACATTTTTTATATTATTTTACATTATAAATGTAATTTTTTCATCAAGATTGAAATTATGTCATTTAATTATCACAAGAAACAAAATAAACTTTATATGAAAATACAGTTATACATTTATTGCACTTCCTAATTTTTGGGCAGAGATATTGTATTTTACTGAATAATTATATCTAGATTAAGGCACTGTCCATTAGCTTAGGGTTTTTAGTGTTTGTTTCATGTGGAGACATAGTTTTATATTCTTCATGGACTATTTGTAAAATTTGTTCTGTTATAAAAAGTAACTTAATTGATCAGGAAATATTCTTCTTTAAGCTGCATAAGAGCTTTACAATAAAACTTATATACTAGTGTCAACTTTTTAACAATAAGACTGTAGACAAATTTACCACAATGTAAGTATTTGCAATTAATGTTTATAAATTGATCTCATTTAAAGTTATTTATCGATTATCATTGTTCATAGAAATTATATTATACATAAATGATGATTCTTCTATAAATGCAACAGTCTTCACAATAAAATTTTAATATACAGGCCCATAACAAAATATTTATTTTGATTCTATTGGCCTGCAGAGATGATTTTTATAGGCCCGAAAGCAATTTTACAAACCTTGGCTGTTGGGCCTCAATGGGTTAAGTGTGAAGACTGATGCAATGGACGCAATCCACATATCTCTAAAAGCAAGTCTTATTTTCAAATGAATAATGTAATGAACTCAGAAAGTATCACAGATTTTTCACTACAAGAACATTTTTATACAATATTGTCCATATTTTAAAAGTATGACATTATGGTACTATTTGAAGTTTATGTTTACTCTTCAACAGATGGCCATGCATCATTATCTTCTTGTAATGTTTTCTTCAGTCCTACAAAGTAATATATGCATTTAGAATAGTATAGAGAAAAAATCATACAAATATTAATAGGTTGTTTGGTTGTTGATATGTAAAAAAGTGACTATGCTCTTTAGTTTTATAATTATTGCAAATAAAAAATAACTGATAAAGTTTTGAGGAAATAAATAAATGGAGAAATTGTCCATAGGACTCAAATGATGCCCCCACTTGCATATAACGTTATAAAGAGACATCACTCAAGAACGGTAATAGTGATGCATCTCAAATTCAAACTTGGTCTGTGTTATGTGGTAATAAGCAATGCGAATAAGTTTCATAACATTTGGTTGAGGCAAACTCAAGTTATTTTTGGGCAATTTTAAGGGTAAAAATATTTGTAGTTCATATCTAATCCAGTAAGTTAGTAGGTATGTTACATTGGACTAAGATAATAAAAAAAAAAATAAATTGATAACATGGTCCTCCTCCAGAAGTTTACAGAACTTACTATTCATATCAAATCTTGATTTTCTAGGTTCATCAAAGATTTCATCAGGCGAGTTGTCACCTGAAGAAATGTACCATGATGCACTAGCAGGACTAGCAGAATCATACTGGCTGTCATGATCACACTCTTCACAACGTTTTGGAGAAGCATGAGGACCTCTAGGATATCCATCATCATCAGGATCCTTCATGTAACCTCTAATAGCTCCAGCATGATGTAAAGCTCTGCTACGTTTCCAAACTGGATGACTGATATCTATTGCCATAATCTGAAATTTTTATTACAATTATGAAAAAGTTGTGGTCTTGTACATACTTCACTTATATAAATATTCCAAGGTAATTTGATATCTTTTATATTTTGGTGAAATTCATTCCTGGAATAATTATGTCTCCAAACTGACACGAAGAGAAAATGATTTAAGTGCTCCCACTATATGAAGATATTATTAAATTATGCACCCCTACAATATAAAAATAAGGAGATGTGGTATGATTGCCAAACTTCAAATGAAGTGGAAGTAAGCAATTATAGGCAACCAATCGGCCTTCAACAATGAGAAAAACCCATACCGTATAGTCTGCTATAAAAGGCCCCAACATGAAAAATATGAAACAACGCAATTTAGAAAACTAAACTCTCTAATTTATAACAAAACAATTTATGAAAAACCAATATGACAGACATGAACCAACAACAACCACTGAACTACAGACTTCTGACTTTGGACAGGCACATAAAGAATGTGGTGGGGTTAAACAAGTTTGCTACATAAATGTTGCCAAGGAGAAAATTTATGGCTTTAATCAGCGAATCACACCTCCAGTAGGTATATCTAGCATATATACCTTTCTCATTTGAGAAAAAGGCTTTATATGAGTTGCAAAAAATAAACTTGCAATCAGATTTATCAAACTATCATACAATTAAATAAGAAAGCTTTTGTTTGATAAGATTGTTGTGGAAGTATAGTATAAAGAGTGGAAAAGTCAAAACTCAACCGAATCAAACGGATCATCAAAAGCATGTATTCATCTAAAACATCTAAAGAATTTTTTACATTCCAAAAATGATTAATTCCACCATTTTCATATGTTTTATTACAAAAATTACTAAGTTCTTTGATAGTAGTTAAGAAACTTGTTAAAAGTCCTGAAAGATTAGTAGTAGAACACTTACTATAGGCCGAGATGAGACGATATTTTACGGGTTTTTTGTGTAGTTTAGGTAACCAATACATAGTGGGGACCTTCAAATGTTCAGAGGAGGCCTTGAGCTGAGCTATGGTAGTGGCATGATTACATAATTTTTTGAGGTTTTAATCTTGGTAAGCCTGATTGGAATGTTTTCTCATTGATTGAATTTCTTAGCTTCCTTCAGCCTTGTCACTTTAAATATAAGAAAAGTAAACACGTTTTTCAAACAATTCTGTGTCATTTTCATCAAAAAAATTGGAAAGAAAAATAACTTGCAAGTCATGAACAATTCATAAGATATTTTATGAAAAGGGCTACTAAGGTGTAGCAGTGTGACCTAATAAGAGAATTAGGTATTTTCAAATATAAGAGAAACAGTGTTTTCAAATATAAGAGAAACAGTGTTTTCAAATATTTAACAGAATTAGTGTTTTTGAATATAAGAGAAACAGTGTTTTCAAATATTTAAGAGAATTAGTGTTTTAAATATGTAAGAGAAATAGGTGTTTTATAAATTGAGGCAGGGTTACATGTAAATAAAGACGAAATATGTTAGCTATAAATCTGTAGAAAGGTCTTATCCAGTACTTATATACCTATATGGAGTCATTTGCTTTCAGAACGATAGGTCATTCTTTTGACAACCCAGACAATACCAAGTTTCAATGAAAAGTGCTTCTAGGCCTAAAATAATGACCTGTGTCAGGTTATTATTTACCCAGATTATAATGCATTCTTCTTTGTTAAAACATCTTTTGATGTTGCTAATTGGGGGTATTCTATACAATTTTCTATCTTGAATATTCCTTAAAGGTTTAAGTGAAAAACAATCCTTTACTCCATATATCAGTTTGAAATACTAGTGCCAGAGCATGTCTTTAATGCACAATTATGTGAGATAAATTTAAATAATAGTCTATCCTGATTCTCTTTTTTAAGAAAAAATGCATTGCCGAGCTAAAGAGAGAAAACAATTCTTCTGAATAAGTTCCCTTTAAATTGTTGAAAAAATAATTAGCTGTAAAAATGTCATAAAACTAGAGAAAAAAGACATAACACCCCCTTTTTAAAAAGTTAACAACATATATTACTTTCCAGGTTACTTGTATTTTTCATATACCAAAATAATTCTTATATTTCTTGCTTCATGCAATTACAGTAAAATTTTTATTTAACTGGACAGTGGTTAACTAACATTTCTATCTTAGACTATGTTATAGTGAGTTTCATTTCACCATATAATTGAGCCATTGGGCAATGTTATACCTACACTGTTTTAAGGTTTTTCTTGTTGTATATCACACCAAAGGGTTTCAGGATTGCCAAAACCTTAAAATATGCATTATCTATATTAAACTTATTTTTTAAATTTAATTATGATAAAAAATATATGAATATGAGTTTATTGTAAGGTGTAAGGTTAAAAGGTTTCAAGATAAGAAAAACCTGAGGTGAAATTATGCATAACACAAATATTATCATGAATGTCATTAGAATTTTTTTTTTTTTTTCAAACCAAAACAGGTCAATCCCATATCTTATGTGAAGGTCCAAGTTCCAGCAACATATATTGCTTTGCAAAATGTTTTATGACTTATGATTTGATTCAACATTGCTTGAATGAACAAAAAAAAAAAAAAAAGAAAGTACTAAATCAGAACTTTGCAATAAATGTTCCAGTTATTACTTTTAAGAAATGTACCTAATGTTTAATTACTAAGTGAACACAAATGCTGAAAAGTAGACTTATCATTTTTATAAAAAGCAGCCTACCTCTTCACAGCATCGTTTACTAACAAGTGCCATATAGTTAATCTTTGCCCAAAGATTATCTCGCTTTCTGAGAAATCGTGGAAATTTGTCCTGCCATTTTTGACCAAGTGCCCAAGGAAATATCTCGTACTTGTCTTCTTCTTCATCTTCTTCCATGTCATTACCTAAATACCTTTAATATTTAAAAGAAATTTGTCTTGATGGCACATCTTTTGTAGTCTCTGTCAAGTTTATATGTGACTTGTCAAGTTATTAACTTGGGCTGATAAACAGATTGACAGACTTGTCTAATGTTCAGTCATATCTTGATATCTAAATGTCTTTTGGGGTTTTATTTTGTTGTTAGGTTGTAGTCTATTAACAAATACCCAAAACCAGTTTTTTATTCATATTGTGTTCATTTTAGTGTCAGCTGTAAAGAATAGTTTATCCTATTTTGCAAGCTTGCCGTAATGACTTGCTAGGTTATGATGTAATATTTATTTTAGTTCTGTGGTCAATGTTAAGTTTTTGTGTATTGGTCTGTTTTTCATAAGCAGTTGGTCAACTATATTTGATGTATGGAATGATTGTAAGGTTTACATCTGTCTGGCAGGTATAATCTGACCTTGACCTCATTTTCATGGTTCATTGGTCAATTTTAAATTTTTGTGTTTTTGTCTGTTTTTCAATTACCATAAGCCATAGGTTAACTATCTTTGGTGTATGGAATAATTGTGAGGTAAAATGTCTGTATGGCAGGTTTTATCTGACCTTGACCTTATAGTGATTGATCTTTAAAAATGTGATACTCATAGTAAAACCTTTATCTTTAAGACTTTCAACATAATATCAATGGTCGGTAAAACAAGTAAGACATTTCAGTGTGTGCACTCTTGTTCTGATTACTGTATATGTGTTTATAAAGAATTGATTATGATACTTGATAGACCTTTAATATTTGAACTGTTGTTGCATTCACCATTGGATTCTTAACTTTTATTTTAAAGGAAATTAGAAATGCCTTACTCCTTATTCTAGAGGTATTGAAATCCGGCTGTTTGATTTGCCAGGCATTTGTTCATTTATGTATCATTGTAATTTTGCTTGGTTTCTTTTGTTACCTATTCTGACATCGGACTCAGACTTCTTTTGAACTGAGTTTTACTTTGTGTATTACTATGTGTTTCTTTATAATACATTGGCTAGAGGTATAGGGGGAGGGTTGAAATCTAACAAAACATGTTTAACCCTGCCGCATTTTTGGGCCTGTCCCAAGTCAGGAGCCTCTGGACTTTGTTAGTCTTGTATGTTTTTTTAATTTTAGTTCAATTATATGTTTTGGAGTTTAGTGTGACGTCCATTTTCACTGAACTAGTACACAATTTTATTTAGGGGCCAGCTGAGGACCACCTCCGGGTGCGGGATTTTCTCGCTGTGTTGAAGACCCATTGGTGGCCTTCCGCTGTTGTATGTTCTTTGGTCGAGTTGTTGTCTCTTTGAAATATTCCCCATTTCCATTCTCAATTTTAAATTCTTGTTTGGCTTGACAGGAATTCATTATGTGTCTGACCACTTTTTGAGAAGCACAACTACTTAAAGAACTTTTTACCACTTTCATAATGCTAAATTACGTTAATGTTATATATTATGTTTAGGCCCATAGAAATGTACATACAACTAAGACCTTACAAGTGCTTTCAAAGCCCTGCAGATTATTCTGGATTTGATATAAGTGGCCTTTTCTGGGAATTTTATAGTTGACTATGCGGTATTGGTTTTGCTCATTGTTGAAGACTGTATGGTGACCTATAGCTGTTAACTTCTATGTCATTTGGTCTCTGGTTAAGAGTTGTCTCATTGGCAATTATACCACATCTTCTTATTTTTATATTTACTCTTTTATACAAGCATATGAATTGCCAAATGGCACTGTTAGCAATTTTTCAAACCTTTTGCCATTTTTTTTTTTAATTTGCAAATCAAAATCAGTTGTACAGAAGTAAAGTGAAAGGCTTTATACAAAATAAATAATAAATCTGGATTTTCTTTTCTGGTTTTTATAAGATTTGAACAAAAAGGAACATTAATATAAGAAAAAAATCATGTCCAATGTTAGCATTAAGCTACATCTGTATGAACAAAATTCTGATATGGCTTGTAGAATATCAATATCCAATTCAATTTTACCTAGAAGCAAAAAATAAATTATGGAACAATTATTACTAATGAAGCAGAATTATCAAAATTAAAACAATTAATTACACATGACTTATGCTACTGATGGTACTTACAATGCCACAAAAAAGTTTGTTCTTGTATATTCTCTGATTTTCAGATCAGCCCTTTTGAAGTATGCAAAAACCATGGCTATGAGATACTAAATGAAAAAGATTGAAATATACAAAATGTCTTATCATAACTGTGATTCTTGTAATAGTTAAATTTCTAAAATTTTATAGTTAACTTCACAAGACATGCATTTGAATAAAACATTACCTAATTGTTATGTTGCTTATTCATGGACAATAATATTACTCTGATAGACAAATTCTTGCCAAAGTTTTACACATCTTTCTCTAAATTTACAATTTTTTAATTAGGAACAACCCAATTGAATTTCAAATAGCAGATACATTTAGAACAGGTAGTGCAGCAGACAGTCTTCAGCATTAGACAAGTGTCTGCCCAGCTTTAATAATGCACAGTTTTATTTCAATAAGACAGCACTGAACAAATAATACCTTGTCAGATATTTTAATGCAACTGTCAGCCTCCAAAAAGTCTTGTACTACTTCATCTTCTGGAAAAAAGAAGACATGATTGAAGTCAATTAAGTTACCAGAAAATTAGCAAGACCTATTTGTGTTGTAGAGTCAATTTTAATGTAAATCCATGTGTAATTTTCCTATTAAATACAAAAATAGGCCAATCTAATTAAAATTAAAATCCTTTAATTGTTTCCATTCTGACATGTGGCATATGGTCATGTTAAGTTTTCATGTTGTCTATTCCTCTCCCATCATGTATATGTTAGCGGCAATAAGTGAAATTAGGCATTAAGCTTAAAACCTAGGCAATAAGCTAACACTTAGGCAGTAAGTCTATTGCCTGAATGATGCTAGGCATTATTCTTAATTCCTAGGATTTAAGGATGTACACCTCTGAGGAGACAAAAATTTCTAGAATTAAACTTTTATTCTTAACCTGATTTTTGGGTTTAAATGACCGTAAAATAATTGGTGAAGAAAAAATCATATGGTGGTGCACTTTTTTTTTTTTGCTACAGCCATTTGAAAGTACCCAATTTTAATGATTTTCCCATTTTTCATCAATTTTTACCCATTTTTGGGGTATTATCATGAAAAAAATCACAGTTTCACAATTAAACTTTATTTCATACTTTCACTAAGTGGACCAATCTGAATAAATTTAACTTAAAAAACTATGGGTAGGTGTTAGCATGAGAAAGTTTTATAAAATTTTGTTGCTTTTTTTGTAAATTTGGGATTTTCTCTTTTTTTAGAACAAAAAGCATATTATTTCAACTTCTTTGTTATAAATGATTGAAAAAATATGTATCTAAGAAATTTGAAAAGAAAAAGTTGATATGGGATGTACATGTATCTGGTAAAATCATTTCTTGTACCCCTCACCCATTTTTTCAACATTTTGGCTAATGAGACTGACTTGATTGGTTATAAAATTTGAAAATTTTATTACTCAAAAACTACTTATTGTAAATACACAATTTTTTCAGAGTTAAGTTTGATTATAATATTTTTTAAATTCATTGATATTTTCCACTTGTATCACATGTTTTGGAAATAATAATCCAGAACGAGATTTCAACGAGACTGAAACGTCAGAAGAATACATCCTTAAGCTTAAATCCTGAAAAATGTTGTCAAGGCATTAATCTTAATGCCTAAAATGTAAATGCAAGTAAATAAAAAGACATTTATTCAAAGTTAAGATACATTTGGTACATAATAACATGATAAGAACGTCAACTACCTGAAATAAAGTCGAAAGTTCTGACCACTTTAGTTTTTAACTCTGATATAACTAAAGCTGTAAATTCAAGACCATTGTCATTTTGCAGTTTATCAGGCACACCAAAAATTGTGAAAACATCAATAAAATCCAAAGTCACCTCTGAAGCATAATTGGCGTATTGGTGATTTTGGTACATCATAAGAAATTTATAGTTTCCATCTTGGTTTGATAGGAAATCCATTATATCAGCCTGTCCTCTACTGTTGAACTCTTTGGATAAAATGGGTTTCACTACTACTCCCTCCCCTAAATACTTTTTTTCATGTTACGATTTTCCCCAAGGTGGAAGAAATAGTTTGATGGAATTACAAAAAATATTTGCATATTCATTAATAAGTTGTTTATTCATATGGTCTCTGTCATCATGACCTTTTTATGTGCCTTTTCCAAAGTACCAGACAGTTCCTCCAGAAAAACACTATTATGAAATTTTTCTCATCATTCTCCTTTGCTTTACTTATCAACCTTTCAAAGCCCCAAAGGTAAAAATGTCATACCTTTTTATACGACAGCAAAATATTTTTGCGGTCTTATATTGTTATGACGTTGGCGTCGTCGTCATCAGCCGGTGTTGTCGTCGTCGGAAGACACATTAGTTTTCGCACAATAACTTTAGTTTAAGTGAATGGATCTCTATGAAATTTTACCATAAGGTTCAATACCACAAAAGGAAGGTTGGGATTGATATTGGGGGTTATGGTACCAACAGTTAAGGAATTAGGGGCCAAAAAGGGGCCAAAAATAAGCATTTTTTTGTAACTTCCAGACAATAAAATGTGTGTTAGAGTTAGAGTATGGATCTCTCTGACATTGTACCACAAGGTTTCATATCACAAAGGGAATGCTGGGATTGATTTTGGGGGTAATTGCCTCAAAATTTTAGGAATTAGGGGCAAAAAAAAGGGGAAAAAAACAAGCATTTTTCTAGTTTTATGACAATAACTTGTGTGTAAGTGTATGGATCTTTCTGAAATTGTACTACAAGGTTCCATATCACAAAGAGAAAGCTGGAATTGAGTTTGGGGGTAATTGCCCAAAACGTTTAGGAATAAGGGGCCGAAAAGGGGCCAAAAATAAGCATTTTTCTAGTTTCCAGACAAAAACTTGTGTTCAAGTGTTTGGATCTCTCTGAAATTGTACTGCAAGGTACCATACCACAAAGGAAAGGCTGGGATTGATTTTGGGGGTAATTGCCTCAAAATTTAAGTAATTAGGGGCAAAAAACAAGCATTTTTCTCGTCTCAGGACAATAACTTGTGTGTAAGTGTATGGATCTTTCTGAAATTGTACTACAATGTTCCATATCACAAAGGGAAAGCTGGAATTGAGTTTGGGGGTAATTGCCAAAAACGTTTAGGATTAAGGGGCCAAAAATAAGCATTTATCTAGTTTCCAGACAATAACTTGTGTTCAAGTGTATGGATCTCTCTGAAATTGTACTGCAAGGTACCATACCTCAAAGGGAAGGCTGGGATTGATTTTGGGGGTAATTGCCTCAAAATTTTAGGAATTAGGGGCCAAAAAGGGTAAAAAACAAGCATTTTTCTAGTTTCAGGACAATAACTTGTGTGTAAGTGTATGGATCTTTATGAAATTGTACTACAAGGTTCCATATCACAAAGGAAAAACTGGGTTTGAGTTTGGGGGTAATTGCCCTAAACGTTTAGGAATTTGGGGCTAAAAAGGGGCCAAAAAACAAGCATTTTTACAGTTTCCAGACAATAACTTGTGTTCAAGTGTATGGATCTCTC